TGCACGGTCCCGAATGAAATGCCGCCGTTGCCGGAGGGCTTTGGGAACATGGGCGGCCCAAACTCCGGATGGGGCCCGTGCCGGCAACAGAGCGGCAGCCATGAGCCGACGCCGGCGGGTTATTTTGGCGGCTTCTCCCCGGCACCACAGTTCTTCCCCAACGATCTTGAGAGTATGCAGATCCCGGAAGAGCGCTACGGAAACTGCTGAGGAGCCCAACGCCGAGACTCACAGGGGAGGAGGGGGCGTGCCGCCGTCGAGGGTGACCCTGCGAGCCGACACGTGGGAAGGGACTGCAGCCATGGAGACCGAATATATATACCGAGGTGACAACGCACCGGCCGCCGATGGTGGGTGGTCATGCGTACAAGAAAAGGCAGGCCGCTTCTCTGCGAGGACTCAACAGGCGTGCAGGACTCTTTTTGTCCCCTACTTTTTTGTTTTTTGTGATCAGAAATGTTGAGTGAAACCAACGCAATGAAGTGAAAAACGTCTCGCAATGTGGAAGAAAAACAAGAGCATTTTTTTGTGTGTGTCGGAGGGAGTCTTTATGTGTCATTATATTTTTATGACTGTTCCTTCTTCTTTTGTTGTAACTTTCTGGGAAACGTGGCCCACTCCTCATCGGGGAGGGGACGGCGCAGCGCCCCACAGGCGCCGGACGAGCCCTGGCGGTGGTTCCCGTGCCTCCTGTGCGCTGGTGTCGCCGCCCACGTTGCCACCGCCGCGGCGGCGTGCTGTCGGCTTCTCCGCCGCCGTGACGCCTTCACCCGCACCGTCCCGGGTTCGGGTGGGGCGCAGTGGGTTGGCTGACGGGCATTCGTGTACTCGCGTGGCTGCGTGGCACCGCGTGGCCGTGTTGTTTATGGTTGTCGCCCGAGCTGTTTGTGCCTGCTGCCTGCTGCCCCCACACTCTCTCCGCCCTTTTTTCTTTTGCCTAGACTCTCACACCGAAAGCGACCATGGCGAAAACGAAACTGCCGACGATGAAGCGGAGGCTGAGGCGGGTTGCCGTGCTGCTGATTCTCTTCATTGCGGTCATGACTGTTCTGTCCCTCAGCTTTGACATCGCTGCCGATGATGGTGCACCAGAACCCAACAACCTCCGCCACCCGCGAGCCGCCGCAGTGGACGACGCAGCGCTTGCTTACATCCCACGCCGTGTTGTGGACACGTGGAGCCGGCGGGAGTATCTGATTGTGCTGGGCATCCCCTCCACGGACGACGAGGCGAGGCGAACACAACGCAACCTGCAGCGGTCTACGTGCTGGCGGTTCCCCGGAGTGGCGACGAGGGCGAACGACTTCACCGGTGCGATGCTTGTGCTGTACGTCCTCGGGCGACACCCGTCGCACGGCTACGAATATTCCGCCGCGCTACTGGAGGAGGCGTCGCAGTGGAACGATGTGGTTGCACTGCCAATGAACGAGGGCCGTGTTTCACCAGAGAAAAAAGTTGGTGTTGGGGGGTATTCAGGCATTGAGGCTTCTATTGGTATGACCCGCAAGACGTACATGTGGTTTGACCTTGCGCACCGCCTGTTCCCGACCGCGAGGTACATTGCGAAGGGCGATGACGACATGTTCCTCCGTGTGCCGCTGTTTGTTGCTCACCTGCGCCTCCTGCCGCGCCGAGGGATCTACATGGGATACCACATGCTTCCTCCCTCTGGTCCGGAAAGATATATAAGAGGCTACACGTTTATGGTTGGCTGGTGCTACACCTTGTCGAGGGATGTGGCGGAGGCGTTGGTGTCGTACAAGCCGCTGCGGCGCCTGACATACCTGCCGTACAGCAAGGAGCGTGAGGAAGAGTTTTTTTCTGATTCACATGCAGCAGCGAGGACGTAATGGTGGGACGTGTGCTAGTGAACGAAGTGAAGTACAACCCGATGGTATACGTCGAGATGCAGGATTGTCATTTCCATGACGCCCGCAATGGCACGGGTCACTCGCAGGTGGTGCCGACCTCGATGTGTGTCCATCACGTGCTGGAGGACGACTACGCTGCGCTGATGGCGCGCTTCGGCAACGACACATCTCCTGTCGCCCGTGTGGAATGGGTCTCAGAGGACACGATATACCCGTCGTGCGATTGACAAATGAACGAAATGATTTGTTTTCTGTGCATGTTGAATCCCAATGTATTGCTTGATTGGTTGCTGCATTCCGGTTTGTGCCCTGTGTGCTCCGTGGCCGAACGACGTGGAATGTGTCATTGACTGCCCCGTGCTCCTGTGGAGCGTGTCACTCCCTGCCCTCGACCCGCGTGCGGGAGGTGGTTGTGGAGCCAGTGGGCGCCCGTTGCGTTGTGCTGCGTGTGTGCTTCTGCTGGGGGCACGTGATGAGGATGTGCGTGTGTGTGCTGGGCCGTCAATGAAAGATGTATGTGAGTCTGTGTTTTTGATACGTTTTTTTTTTTTTTTTTTTTTTTTTGGTGTCGGTGAAACGAGTGATGAAGAAGAATGCCGGCCGCCGAAATTAATATATTTCTTGATAAAAACGAGGATATTTTTTTTTTCTCTACGATTTTTTTTTTTAACCCGTGTTGTTAATTATTTTGTGAAAGCCGACGATGGAAGTAATCAGGGAGCCGATGTCGGGAAGACGAATATTTTCTTTACTTTTTATTTTTCACTTTCCGTTCCACCCACACCCTCTTGCGATGCTCGCCTCGCGGTGGGGTCTTGTGGCTGGAGGATCCTCAAAATCCTACCGCCTTATAAGTCGTAATATTTACAATCCCAACAATGTGCCACATGTTACGTGAGCGACAATTCGAAAATAGATATATGTATATGTATATATTTACTTGAAGCAGGCATTTAGGCGAAACCCACTGCTTCTCCTTTTGCCTTCTTTCTTTTCCACCATTATTACTTTACTTTACATAAGTTTAGGATGTGGCGAGCAGCCCAGGCGAGTGTTTTGTAGTTTTCTCGTGTCTGCCTTTTTTTCTCTCTGTGGATGTGTGTGTGGGTCTGGGCTGTATTTTCCTGTTCATGCATACAGTAGGTGCACTTGTCTTCTCTCCTTTGTTGTTGTTTTTTGCAGTGTTTTTTTTTTTGTGTGTGTGGTCGTGGTAAAGGATTTAAAAAATGTCCGGCGGGGCCCCACTGCCACCGTCGCAGATGGACTTACAGAAGGTCGTGGAAGTGCAGTTTGAGATGTTTAAGGAAAAGCAGATTAAAGACTACGCCGTGTGTCTCGTGGAGCACGCCAAGTCGTATGAGCGCGGCCAACCTGTGCGTGGGGGCATTAATGATCTTCGCATGGGAACCACCGACTTTGAGTTTGCCTGCGAGACGTGTCACCGAAAGCACCCGGAGTGCCCCGGTCACTTTGGCTACATTGACCTTGCGGAACCTGTTTTTAACATCGGCGTCTTTGACATCGTGCTGCAGGTACTGAAGTGCGTCTGCAAGTCCTGCGGCGCACTCCTCATGGACACCAACGACCCGCAGGTGCACAAGAAGTTGCAGCACCTCACCGGCGTGAATCGCCTGCGCCAAGTGGTAAAGATGTGCGGCATGAAATGTCGCATGTCAACGGATGCCACAACGCCCGAGGAAGCGGTTGTGGCGCGCGGGTGTGGCGCAACGCAGCCTCGCATTGGCCGCTACCTCGGCATCTACCCAACCCTTATCATCAAGGCAACGCTGGAGGAGCAGGACATGGTGTGGCACGCGGACACCGCGCGCCAAGTGCTCGACCGTGTCTCCGACGAGGACGCGCGGGTGATGGGGTTTGACGCGTTGCGCTGTCACCCACGCGACCTCGTGCTGACGGTCCTGCCGGTGCCACCGCCGCAAGTGCGGCCCGCCATATCGTTTGGCAGCCTCAAGTCGGACGACGAGCTCACGCATCAGATTATGTCAATTGTGAAGCGCAATAATCAGCTGCGGAAGGACAAGGAGTCTGATGTGCAGGTGGCAGTGGACCGCAGTCGCGCGCTGCTGCAAGAGCATGTGGCCGCGTACTTCAACAACGCTTCCATGTACTACAAGCCAACGAAGGTGAACGACACGAAGAAGCTCAAGTCACTGACGGAACGTCTGAAGGGAAAGTACGGCCGTCTACGCGGGAATCTGATGGGCAAGCGCGTGGATTTTTCTGCCCGAACTGTCATTACAGGCGATCCGAACATTGACGTGGATGAAGTTGGTGTGCCCTTCTCTATCGCCATGACGCTTACCTTTCCGGAACGCGTGAGCGCGGTCAACAAGAAGCGGCTTACGGAGTTTGTGCGTCGGCCGGTATACCCCTCCGCAAACTACATTCATCACCCCAATGGGACCACTACCAAACTGGCGTTGCGGCGCGACCGTTCGAAAGTGACGCTCAACATTGGCGACGTCGTGGAGCGGCACGTCATAAACGGCGATGTTGTGCTTTTCAACCGGCAGCCCACACTGCACCGTATGAGTATGATGGGCCACCGTGTGCGGGTGTTAAATTACAACACGTTTCGTCTGAATCTCTCGTGCACAACGCCGTACAATGCGGATTTTGATGGTGACGAAATGAATCTGCACGTGCCGCAGAGTCTTCTCACGAAGGCGGAGCTTATTGAAATGATGATGGTGCCAAAGAATTTTGTGTCGCCCAACAAGTCTGCTCCGTGCATGGGCATTGTCCAGGACAGTCTTCTCGGCAGTTATCGGCTCACGGACAAGGACACGTTTCTTGACAAGTACTTTGTGCAGAGTGTTGCTCTCTGGTTGGACCTGTGGCAGTTGCCCGTGCCGGCCGTGCTAAAGCCGCGACCTCTGTGGACAGGAAAACAGGTCTTTTCGCTCATTCTTCCAGAAGTGAACCATCCGGCGACGCCGCAGGAGAGACCGCCGTTCCCGCACAACGACTCCAGCATTATGATACGACGGGGGCAGCTGTTGTGTGGGCCCATCACGAAGGGCATCGTTGGCGCCGCCCCGGGATCTCTCATTCACGTCATTTTCAACGAACGCGGGTCGGATGAAGTGGCTCGCTTTATCAACGGCGTGCAGCGCATCACGACATTTTTCCTCATCAATTTTGGTTTCAGTGTCGGTGTGCAGGACACGGTCGCGGATGCGGACACGCTTCGGCAGATGAACGAGGTCCTGGTGAAGACGCGTGAGAACGTCGAAAAGATCGGTGCGGCGGCCAACAACCGCACTCTCAACCGAAAGGCTGGTATGACGCTTTTGCAGTCCTTTGAGGCGGATGTGAACAGCGCGCTGAACAAGTGCCGCGAAGAGGCGGCCAAAAAGGCTTTGAGTAACGTGCGCCGTACGAACAGCTTCAAGGTGATGATTGAGGCGGGCAGTAAAGGGACGGATCTGAATATCTGCCAGATTGCTGTTTTTGTCGGCCAGCAGAACGTTGCCGGCAGCCGAATCCCATTTGGCTTTCGCCGTCGCACACTGCCACACTTCATGTTGGATGACTACGGTGAAACCTCGCGAGGCATGGCAAACCGCGGGTACGTGGAAGGGCTCAAACCACACGAGTTCTTTTTCCATACGATGGCGGGTCGAGAGGGACTTATTGACACGGCCGTCAAGACATCTGACACAGGGTACCTGCAGCGTAAACTTATCAAGGCACTCGAAGACGTTCACGCCGCGTACGATGGCACTGTGCGCAACGCTAATCAAGAACTCATTCAGTTCATGTATGGCGAGGATGGCTTGGACGGGGCTCGTATTGAGGGCGGGCAGCTCTTCCCTCTTCCATTTCGTGACAACAAAGAGATGGAAAGTACATACAAGTACGAGTACGACGAGACAGGTGCATTTAACGAGAAAGTGGGCGGTGCGTACATGGACCCGCATGTAAAAAAGATGCTGCGTGCAGATCCGGAGAACGTGCGGAAACTGCAGAGTGAGTTTGATCAGCTTATGGCCGACCGTGACTGGGCACGTCGAATGATGGACTTGGAGGAGCGGGAGAAGTTGAAGCTGAACTTACCCGTGAACATTGGCCGCCTCATTCAAAACGCACGGAGCACCATGGGGAAGCGTAGTCAAGTCTCTAATCTCAGTCCTGTCACCATCATTGACCATGTGCGGAAGCTGCAGGAAGACATGCTCAAATTGTTCCCGTGCTACCACAAGGGCGTGGACGGCCGCATCCACAACTTGCTTAGCCGTCAGCGCATTGAGAATGCCTTGACACTCTTCAGCGTCCACTTACGGCAACTGCTTGCCTCCAAGCGGGTGCTACGGGAGTATAAACTTAATGATAAGGCCTTTGAGTATTTGTTGAAAGAAATACGTACAAAGTACCTTCAGTCTCTCGTCTCACCTGGCGAAAACATTGGGGCAATTGCGGCGCAATCCTGCGGTGAGCCAGCAACGCAGATGACACTTAATACATTTCACAATGCGGGCATTTCCTCCAAAAATGTCACACTTGGCGTTCCACGGCTACTTGAGCTCCTTAATGTGTCGCGGCATCAGAAACATGCGAGCATGAACGTCTCCCTATACCCGCCGTGGGACAAGAAGCGTACCGCACAGCAGGCTCAACACCTAATTGAGTACTGTACATTGGAAAGCGTCACAAAACGCATCCAGTTTATTTACGATCCTGATCCACGTGAGACGGTTGTGGAGGCAGACCGTGCCATCTTGGAGCTGGAGTGGAGCGTCATGGATGAGAGCGACGAGCGGGCACGACTCCAGGAGGTGGAGAACGGCTCCCCATGGATTGCAAGACTTGAACTTGATGCCGACATGTTTGTGGATAAGGCACTTAATATGAAGGACGTCAAGCAGGCAATTTTGCGTGTGGACGATGGGTATGTGATAGAGACAGGTATGGCAAACGACACAAAGGAGCGCACCATACGTATGCGACCCAAGAAGAATGATGGGGTGGACTCCATTCCCCGGCTGAAGCATGCCATTCCGGAGCTGCTTGCGCGTGTGCATCTGCGTGGTATTCCTGGCGTGCGGAAGGCACTGTTGAAAGACAGGACAACGTTTACAGTGGACCCCGCCACAGGGAAGATGACAGGTGAGAAGACTTGGTTGATTGACACAGATGGGACCGCGCTGCGCCGTGCCTTCATTGGCATTGTGGACGAGAAGGGTAATAATATTATTAACGCCACCCGGACAAGTAGCAACAAGGTTCCCGAAGTCTGTAGCCTTCTTGGCATTGAGGCGGCACGCTACAAGATGCTGCATGAGTTGCGTGAGGCTTACCTTGCCTACGGTCTTAACATCAACTACCGTCACTACACCATACTGGTGGACACGATATGTCAGCGGGGTTATCTGATGGCCGTTTCACGCGTTGGTATTAATCGCTCGGAAATGTCGGGACCTCTGATGCGCTGTTCGTTTGAGGAAACTGTGAAAGTTCTTATGGCTGCCGCGGCTTTTGGTGAGCGAGATCCTGTGCGTGGTGTATCAGCAAACCTTGTGCTTGGTAATCAGGCTCGTATTGGCACGGGTCTCTTTGATCTCGTGTTGAATATGGCGGCGCTGCAGCAGGCGGTGCCTCAGGAGGATGCCGTGGCGCCCGGCAAGGAAGTGAATGTCTACCACGGCCTTGCCTCAACGCAGAACCTACCGTCATCCATGCCCTACCGCGCAAAGGATCATGAGACCACACCATTTGTAAATGACGCAAGCCTTTTCTTCCGTGAGGGTGTTGGCGGCAGCTCCTCCGCTGCTCCTTTGACAGCATCAACACTTTATGGTGGTATGCATGAGGCGAGTGCGGTGCACTTCAGTCAGGCGTACCCTGCGATGGGCATGTCGGATCAGCGAGTGCGGGCCTCAAGCGTCTCGCAGCCATACAGCGTCATGTCGTCGGCGAGCGTATACAACCCTGCCTCTATGCAAGTGCCTTCGGCGTTGCCCAGCAGCGTGGACTACAGCGAGGCCTCTTCCTTCCACATTCAGTCCAGCATGGCAATGCCGTCGGTTCCCTCTTCACCGCAATTTGAAGCGCCACAGGCATTTGGTGGCGGTCGATTCGGCGGTCTCTCTCCGGCATACGTGCCCTCTGTTATGTCGAGTGTGGCGACACAGCCGTATCAATGCGTCGGCGACTCGGAATCCCAGCAGTCCGCGTCTTATGTGCCGACTCTGTCGCCCGCCTACTCTGCCTACACGGCACGGCGTTCCGTGGTGGCGTCACGTGCCAGCGCCTCTCGTGTCGATCAGCAGTCGCAGCAGCAGGAGGACGACTCTGCAAGTTACTTACCGAAGTCGCCGGGATTGCACGGGTTACCACCTCCAGTTGGTGAGTTCTCTCTAACAGAAGATCCGGAGGAGGAGGAGGAAGGGCACCAGTAGTGGCAGTGGGTACCGATGCCAAGGGCTGTGAGAGGATAAGAAAAGCACGGGGAGCAACAGAATAGAAAAAAGAAAAAAGAAAAAGGACCAAAAAGAAAGAAGATGGAGGTTAAATATGCCTGTGAACAGAAATGAGTAGGAATGATGGCAGGAGGAAGAAAATGTCGAAGAGAAGAAGATAGAAATAAAAGGATGCATGTTTTATAAGAAGGATGCTCTTTTATTTATTTTTTTGTGTTGTTAACTGTAGGAGAAAAGAATTTGATGGGCGGAGTTTTTGTTTTTCCGCTTACGTTTTTTTTTTTTGACTGCTTCTTTTCTTCTTTCTTTTTGTGTGTGATGTCCACGGACAGTGACTGGACGGCACACGCGCACATGGAGGCCAATTTATTACAGTCACTTACGCCGTTCTTATTTATTTATTATTTTTTTCTTTTGCATTTTTTCTTTTTGTGTGTGTGTTTTTTGTCCGATTGTTTTCAGAAATTAAGGCTCTTATTATTATTATTATTGCCATCCTTACGGCTACTAGGCGGGTGCGTCCGATTGCGCTAATGAGCCGTGATGAGGATGTGGCGAGTAGTGACGCCATTCTAACGGTGTTGCAGCGTCTTCGCGGCGATTCGGTGCTTAGAAATTACCTGCACGGCCATGAGGGTAGTTGCGGTCGCGACGGCATGACGCTGAGCGCACCGAAGGCGAAGGGAGCAGTGACGGCTGAGGAAACGTTGCCGCGACGGGAAGATCGGGAATCCCTCGTGACGTTTCAGGCACGGTGGAGCCGGGAGGAGGAAGACCGGCTGCAGAACTCAACACAGGCACAGCGAGCCTTTCAGCAGGCACTACAGTCCCTGGCGACCTGCCGCGAAATCCCTGGTGCTGTTGCGGAAGGACGCAAGACGACAGTGGTTCCTTCTTCTTTTTCTGCTGCTTCTGTGGAGCGTGTGGTGTTCTCATTTGAGCCGCAAGACGCAACGAGGGCGGAGGAGAAGACTTCTGTGGATGACATACAGGACGCAGCCTTAACGATGCAAGAGAAGTTGGCCTTCCGGGATCACACTATTCAACGGCTGCAGAAAGAATTAGAAGAAACACGAGCCAGGTATGAGGCCGATATTGCTAGAATGCGGGCAGCACACATGCAGTCGAAACAAGAGACAGGGCGGGAGATGGCGGAACTAAAGATGCGACTGGCACAATTGGCTCTTGCGGGGAATTCGGCTACCAACGCATGTGAGAACTCAGGAGCGTTCTTGGAGGCACTCGAGTTTAAGGAACGTTTGCTGCAGGAGATGCATGACGCGTTTGAGCATGCGTCAGAGGAGTGGAAGAGCGACACCATGCGTACGTTGGCCAGTTTGCGTTTGGCAGCAGAGGATGAAATTCGTGGTATTGTTAGTAGAGCAGAACAACTTGTGGGAGATCTGCAAAGGGCACTTGACGCATTGACGACGCCTCGCAATGACACCGCCGCTTCCTTCACTGCGGGAGTGGCGCGGCGTTTGTTGCAGGATGAAGAGGCGCTGTTGTTTTCGATGGAGACAAAACTTCGAGAACACGTGCGTATGACGGTGAAAAATGCCGTGCGGAGTCGTGTGAAGGACATTCTTCGGCCACTTGTGGAACGTCAACTGCTGAGTCACAGTGAGCTGCACGAGCCACGCCGCCTCAGTCCTCTCCACACCGCTTCCTCCGTGCACACGGCGAGAGGAGCATTGTCCTCAACACCCTTGGCATTTTCGACGTTACCGTCACCGATACCGGCTGAGGGCCGCAGTGGGGAAGCGCCGGCGATTTTTCGGCCGATGACGTCACGACAGGAGCAACGGGCCCCGTCGCAGCACCGCGAATTGTCTGCAGGAGGTACTGCTGCGCCTGCGGTGCCGGATGAGTTATCGCGGGGCGTTACGGCACATGATATTAACCGCCCTTCCGATGGCATTAGCAGGCCGTCGTGGCTGAAACGTTTCTGCTACTAACTCCAGCGGAGGTATGTTTTTCTCTTTGTTGTTGTTGTTGTTGTTTCTTGTCACTTCTTGTTGCTCTCTGTGGATGTCAAATGCACAGACGGGTGATGAAGCGAAAGGGGGCGGTCGGAGGAATATATCCACCGCGCGTGTGTGCGCGCAGCTACTGCGTCTGTGCAGTGCTTTACTGTTTGTTTGTTTTTGTTGTTGTGTTTTTATTTCTATGCCTTTTGTGTCATTGTCTCTCTTTCCTCTTCTCCCTTCAATGACGTTCTTTGCGGGGCGTCGGCACTGACGGGAGGGAGGGGGAAGCCAAAGCAACAGGTGTGAAGCTAAATTATTATTTGTGCGTGAAACTTTTTATTGTTTTTTTATTTTTTTCTTTTTGAACGGCTGTTAAACAAACGCTGGCACACGCCCAGAGAGAAAAGAAAAAGAAAAGAAAACAGAAAAAGAGAGAATAAGGATAACAAGGGAAAGGACGGAATAACAAATTAAGCGATGCGTGCAGCGATTTTTTTCTGTGCCCTTTTGAGCCTTGCGACACTGTCAGCCGTGCACGGCACGGTGTACTTCCACGAGGAGTTTAAGAGCATGGAACACTGGACTACCTCAAAGCACCGCGATGACTTTGGAAAGGTGGAGATTTCAGCGGGTAAATTTTACGCGGATGCGGAGAAGAGCAAAGGTCTCCGTCTGACGGAGGATGCGCGGTTTTACGCCTTGTCTACTGCCTTCCCAACGCCTATCACCAATGAAAAGAAAAGCCTTGTTGTCTCCTTCTCCGTGAAGCACGAGCAGGATCTGAAGTGCGGCGGCGGCTACATCAAGCTGCTCCCCTCGATGGATCCCGAGAAGTTTCACGGTGAAACGAAGTACTGGCTGATGTTTGGCCCGGACCGCTGTGGCTCACAGAACCGAGTGCACATCATCCTGCACTATAACGGGGAGAACCGCGAGTGGTCAAAGAGAATACGCTTCCCTGAGGATAAACTCACGCACGTGTACACGTTGCACATTGCCGCCGACAACTCCTACGAGTTTTTTCTGGACGGCGAGTCGAAGGCGAAGGGCCAGCTCGACGGTGACTGGACTCTGCTGCCGCCACGCGAGATTGTCGACGAGACGGACAAGAAACCAGAGGACTGGGTGGACGAGGAGACGATGGATGACCCGGAGGACAAGAAGCCGGAGGACTGGGACAACGAACCCGCAATGATCCCGGACGCGGATGCGAAAAAGCCCGATGACTGGGACGATGCGGAGGACGGTCCGTGGGAGGCTCCGATGATCCCGAACCCGAAGTCGAAGGGCACATGGAAGCCACGTCAGATTCCCAACCCGGCGTACAAGGGCGTGTGGGAGCCGCGGAAGATTCCTAATCCAGACTTTGTTGAGGACTCTGAGCTCCACAAGGTTCCGGAGCCGCTCACACACGTTGGCATTGACGTCTGGCAGGTCGAATCCGGCAGCATTTTTAAGGACATTATGATTGGCGATGACTTGAAGGAGGTGTTGGAATTGGTGGAGAAGACATATGGCAGCCTGAAGAAAGCGGAGGCGGATGCTCTTAAGGTCATGGAGGATATGGAGAAGGAGAAGAGGAAGAAGGAGGAAGAGGAGGAGAAGGAGAAGGAAAAGGCGGAAGAAGAAAAGGATGAAGAAGAGTTGGAAGAAAAGGGTGACGGTGATAAGGAGGATTTGTAATATGAGCGCAACTCTGGACGGAAGGATTATAAATTGCACGCAAAAAAAAAAAAAAAAGAAGAAAAGGAAGATAAACCACAAGCACGTACAAAATGAGGGAAATTGAGAGAAGGAGAGAATGAGCGTACAACACAGAAGGGGCTGGAATTATTTTTTTCTTTTTTCTTTCTCTCTCAGATAAAAGCGCACATGAAAAAACAACGAGAGAACACAAAATCCAAAGAAATGAAAAAAAAAAGAAACAATCGGTTGAAAACACACGTAGAAAAACGAAAGGAACCGAATACACACACACACATACACTCACAAAACATATATATATGTAAAAGGAAGAGAAGGGAAGAGAAGAGGAGGGGGAAAAGGAAAAAAATAAAATTTTTAGAAATAAGCCCCAAGAAGGACGAGTTAATGAATGGGCACACAAGAAGTGGTGGTGTTGAGAGGGAAGGGGCCTCAGGTGCATTGCAACGAAGGAATTTATCTCTCTTTCCCTTTTCTCTCTTTTTTTTTTCTTTTTCTCTTTCGGCCCTTTTCTCCATTTTGTACGGTTTATATGCTGCTTGAAGCGCCTTGCCCTTTTTTTTTTTTTTTCTTTTTTTTCCAGTTGATTGATGTGGCGATGTGATGTTGTACTTATGCGTACGTGCGTGTGTGTGTGTGTGGTGGTCCTTCATTGTGCGCTGGCGGCTCCACGGCGATAACATTATCATACGTGGTGGCTGTGAGAAAATGCCACCCACACACACCAGCGTGTATATATGTATCCACTGTGCATATTGCACCCGTATGTGTGTGTATGTGTGTGTGTGTATTTAAGGACACATGGTACAACAGCATCAAGGGGGGGAAGAAGAAGAAGAAGAAGAAGGAGGAGGAGGAGGAGGAAGCAGCAGCGGCAAAAAGCACATGAAGGAGAGGAAGGGAGAGAGAAGGGATAAGGGATGCAGCAGTAAAGCGAAAAGGATAATAGGAATAATGATGTGCGTCGCATGATATTCTACATGCGTTTTTCTTTTCTTTTCTTTTATTCTGCATTTACTTTTTGTTTAATATTTCCTGTTTTATTGTTTTTGTTCTGGTGGTGGTGGTTGTTTGTTTTTTGACCGGGAGGAGGGGGGGGGGATTACACTGCGTGGCATTCTCAATTTTTTGTTTGCTTTTAGTTTTTGTTTTTCTTCTTGTTGTTTTTGCGCTGCTTTGCTCTCCGCAGGCCGCACAGGAGCAGAAACATTACACACAAAACAACAAAAAGAAGTGGAAAAAGAAAGAAAAGAAAAAAAAAGGTCATTTTGCTTTAGTCGTGACTGTGGCAAGGGGGGAGGGGCGGTGGGTGTCAACAGGGACGCATTGGGGGTCCTTTGAAGGGTGCAAAGAACTTCACGCCGTCTGGAACGTCTTGCGGTGCGTCTGAGAGTTAAAATACAGAACGAGAAATATATATATATATAGAGAGAGAGAGAGAGTTGAAAAATGGCTTTTGACCTGCGGCAGAAGGTGTTCCGCATTCCAAACAACATTGCCGTTTCGGCGGGACTGCGGTGGGACTTCATTGGCGCGGACCCTGTCGATCTGGACCTCAGCGCCGTGTGCTTCACGAACGAAGGGATGTTTTTGGACTGCGTCTTTTTCAACCACCCCTTTCCCACCGGTGTTGATGAGGAGGAGCTGCGCAGCTCCGGCGTCCTCGTTGATCCGCATCAGTTGCCCTTCATGTTTGTTAGCGGCGACAGCAGGATTGGCGGGGAGGAGGAGAACCAACTCCCCGGGCTCGCACTGGCCGCCAAGCGCCGGAAGTACCAACTGAAGAACGTCAACAACAGAAACAACAAAAGGGATGAAATGAATCGCATGGGTGCCATGGATGCACTCTTCTCTCGCCTGTACGAAGAAGCGGAGCTTGCGATGGTGGAGGAGGCAATGGACGAGCACCGCTGTGGGGATGATGATTACCGCGCGTCACGCCGAAAGAAGCGTCGTGAGTTCTGTGACGAATTTGTGACGTTTGTGATGCACAAGATACCGTTGGATGTTTCTGTCATCTTTCTTGTGGTGACGAGTTACACCGGCGCCGACTTTACGACACTGCCAGGGGTGAAACTTGTGGTGTTTAATGAAACCATAAACGAGCAGGTGGGATCCATTGATCTCAAGCGTTCTACTGGCAACGGTACAGCCAATCTTGCTTGTATGTTGTGTTCTCTTCCACCTCTTACTGACAACCCGGCGGAACCGAAAATGTGGGACCTACGCGAACTCAACATTCGTACTTTTGGTTACACGTTTGTAGACGTACTGCCGGTCATGATGGATGTTCTTGGTGTCGAGCGAAATTCACGCGATGACGCCGTACGGCTGCTGCCCGACTACCCGCTAAACAAAGAGAGCTTTTGGCACACGGAGCAGCCACTTTCAGATGTTCGCTTTGGTGTTGGCTGGAATGGAGAGCATGATCTTGATGCCTTCATGGTAATGCTGGATGAAAACAACTGCTACTTAGATCATCTGCACCCAAAACAAACAAGACTGCATTCTATCTATCCACACGTTGCCCGCCACTCTGGGGATGCCATCAATGGATTTGGAACAACTGGAGATGAGGAGTTTATTGACTTGATGACATACCGCATGCCTCCCGAGGTGCGCACAATTATTTTTGGCGCAACGTACGTGGAAAGTTTTGGCAACTCTACGGGAACCGTGAAGAGTATCTTTGATGTCCCAAAGCTCTATCTGAGGTTACAGAACCGCACGGCGGAACGGCCCAACTCATTTGAGGTGGATCGATGGAACATTCACTATGAGGTGGAGGATGAAATTGAGCGAAGAAAGATGTGGAAAAAGAACAAGGAAAAGAACAAGCTGGAGAAACATGGCTTTGTACATCGCACTTACGTGGGTGCGGATGGAAAGATTTACCCAGTACGCATGGTTGTGCTGGGGATTATGGTCAAACGGAGAGAAGTTCCCTTTCATGTCTTGTACCCATACGGCCGTCTTGATCAGCAGCGTTTTCAACAAGAGCAGGCAAAGCACCATGGATCCAAAATGCCAGAAGAAAATGTACCACTTTTTGAGTACTACCCTCTCCATGACTACGCCCCAGCCACGACGGTGGATCCTTTTTCTTCACTCCTGCCATACTTGTACTGCATTGCCCAGTATCGTTGCAACGACGGGGGAAACAACTACATAAGAAGGAGTGGAATGAACTCAAAACATGTGGTAGGCGCCCACAATAACGTTGTCAGTTGTGACCCCTCTTTCTTTCCCGCTTGTCCTCCCTCTCTTTGGGAGGATATGGAGGCATCGGATACAATACTGAAATTTCATGCCCTACAGGTGCAATTTATTGAGGTGCGCAACTTGCAGCCGACGCTTCCCAACCGCTTTAAATGTCACGGAGAGGCGTGGGTCTGCGCCACAGTCCCAATGGGGAAGCGGCCTATGACACCGTACGACACGCTCCCATTTCGCACGCCGTATCTCATTCATCGCGACAACACACGGTGGGATGAAAGGAGCCCAGCAACATCAGCAGTTTTCTTTGTTCGCAAGTGTGACCGAATCCGTGTTGTCATATACGAGTACGCCACCTTCGGCGCTGTGGAACTTGACTTGATGCAATTTGGGGAGCTCTGGAGGCCGGACCCTCTACCCGCAAAAAACGGCTTCAAAGGCGCCTTCAACAGTCTGGAGAGATGGTTTCCATTGACGGGTGGAACCCTGACAGACGGAGAGGTTTGCCTGCGGCTATTCCGTGTGCCAGAAAAGGTGGCGCTGGGGGTGCGCGCGTGGGTGATTGCGGCGGCCAACAAGGAGCGGCGACGCCTGGTGCGGCAGAGAACCGAGCGAAGGGAAGACGCCACTAGGGAAAGCTACTCAGCCAAATGCAGCATCATGTAAGATGCCTGAGTTTACCTCTTGGCGCTAGGTGTGTAAGGCCTGCGTGCGGTGCAGGAGCCGGGAGTTACTTTCCCACCATTGCTCCATCCCCGTATCCTCCTGATGCTTGTTGTATTCTTTGAGAATTGTGAGCGTTGAATGGTCATTTGACCGCATTAAATCATTGTTTTTTTTTTTTATTTGTTTGCTTGTTTTTTTGTTTTTTGTTTTTTGTTTTTTTTTATTATTTTGTACGGCTCTGTATATGTATATGACCCTCATGACGTGTTTAAATGTCGGTTCGTCTTCCTTCACTCTCCCCTCACGGCATTAGAGAGGAGGTGAGTGGCAGGGAAGAGATGTGATGCCGACACATAAGCAAAGACAGGGAAGGAGAGAGAGAGAGTGAGAGAAAGAGAAAAGATAGAGGTAGAGTGAAAAAGGAAAAAAGCAAAAGAAACGTCATCTGAATCAACAGTGAAAACAATATTGGTGGTGGTGGTGGTGGTACCAGTAGCGGGTGGGTGTGTGGTGGTGGAAGAGAGGTCATAAAACAAATTGCCTCTTTTATATGTCTTTTTTCCTTGCACGCCTGCGTATATGTATGCCCGAGGCCTTGCTTTGAGGTAGCATCCCTCTCCAGCGGAAACCACCTTCTTTTCTTTGTTTTTGTTGTTGTTGTTCTTGTGTATGCGTGTTCCTTTTTTTTTTTTTTTTTTTTTCTTTTTTAATGGACATCTTACTGTTTATTTCTTCTGTATGCTTTTGCGTCTGTGTGTGTCTGTGTTTCCTCTTGCTCCACGACCTTTTTTCTTTTTTTTTTCTTTTTTTTTTCTTCTGTTTCTTGTTTATATATTTGTATGCATCTTACATTGGGTTGTTACTGTTCGAGGTTGATTGCAAACGACAGAAAAGAGAGGTGGTGGTGGTGTTGTGTGGTGGGGGGAAAAAAAAAAAATATTATAATTAAACTCACTAACAGGAGGTGTAATGTCGGCTGAGGATCCGCAGGACATTAAACTTGAGCTTGAAAAGGAATGCCTTGCGAATGACTGTAACCACAAGGTACTTGCCTATAATGGGTGCCTGGAGCGCATTAAAAGTGTCCCTCCAGAGAAGGAGCCACACTGTTACCATCATTACTTTGACATTATTCACTGTGTAGATGTATGCGTGGACCCGAAGTTATGGCCGACACTTAAGTAAGGGATTGATTTTGCGTCCAATGCATGTATGTGTATTGGGAATAGAAAAATAAAGAGAGAGAAAGTGAGAAGGAGAGGGATGGAACTGAAAATGCGAAGGGTTGGCATGGCACATATGTGTTTGTTTGTGTATTTGCATTTTGTAGGGAAATATAAAAAATAGGGAGGCGAATGAAATCAACAGGAGGTGAATAGATGTAATGACGAGTTGCAATTTTTTTTTTTTTTTCTTTTCTTCCTTTTACCTTTTCTGTCTGGTTGTATGAATGTATGTGTGGTTGTATGTCTCTTTCTCTTTCTCTTTCTCTTTGGTTACATGGTGGTCTGTAAATTGCACACTTCTCCGCCCGTGTGGATGTGTGACGTTATGGGAGGGGAGGCATTTTTTTTTTCTCTCACTGCTGATACTGTTCTCTCTCCTTCCTTCCTGCCTGCCTGACTTCCTGCATGTAAAGAACGTCCGAGTGCGTGAGAGCCATAGAGGAGAGAAAGAGTGAGAGAGAGAGAGAGGGAAGTGGTAGAAGTAATAATAATAATAATAAGGGCGGCGGTCATCGCGTTTGCTCTTCGCGTGCCAAGAAGAATTCATCCTGTAGGACCTGAGGACTCTCCCCTTTTTTTCCCTCCCTATCGATTACGAGAGGAACGACATTAAATTGCGTGTCCACGAATCATGTATTACTTCCGGGCGGAGAAGCAGGGCACTTACTTTGAGGGCTGGTCGATGCGTCTCTTCGCCTTCGACTCACAGCGGCGCCACATGTACTACACGGAGCGTGAGAAGTGTGTCAATCGCAGCCCCCACAGTGCCACCGAGACGCATTGGCCGACAGGGAGCCCAACCGCACCGCCGTGGAAGAAGAAGTTTAAGGTCACCAAGCTGGTGGTCGTTTCCACTGTGCACGAGTTCCGCCTGGACGACCCGCACCTGAAGGAAACGGACTTCTTTACGCTGGAGCTACACGGCAGGACGCGTGCCTTGGCGAGTGATGAGCCACCGGCGGAGCCGCTGCTGATCCCTGCGGCCACGGAGGGCGATGGGTCGCAGGGAGCAACTCTGGAACAGGCGAACCGAGACCCGTTCCGTCTGTGCGAACTGTATGAATTGCTGCGAGATCAGTTCTCGACACTCAGCCGCAATCAAGGGCTGCGTGCGACAGTCTCAGCAATCTCAGTAAGCTCCCAGTCGGCTTTAAGTGAAACAGATCAGGTGCGTACAATCCAGTCCCCGCGCAGTACCTCGGCGAAGGAGCGGCACATTGTTGCCACAATACGCTGCTGTAACGAGGAGGACTTTCGGCAGGTGTGGTATATCGTGCAAATGGTGCTTGGCTTTGACCGACTGACCATACGCCCCTACCGTGGACTCCCGCCGTACGACCCACGCAATGGCATCCCTTTTGGGCACATTCCCATGCATCTTTGGCACACATTTATGGAACTGGAGAATTCCGTCTTTTATGTTTTCATTCGTGGGGATCTTGTGGGCCATGATCACGAAGGGAACGCAGAAGTGTGGCTGCCAAACGCATATCTCTGCATCACTCACGACATGGTATTGGTGATGCGTGAAAATGGAACGATTCCGCGGTGGATTCATCTTTATAATGTAAATACCTTTGAATATAACACCGTTGCGAAACGTCCCTTTTTTGCATTTCTCACGGACGATCCATCACCGGACGTTCTCTTTATTCCCAAGCCACCGGTGTATGGCCCCGTCGCCATCTCGAACTTCTCCGGAAAAAAGGTGGTTCTTAACGTGTGCTCCATTCTTCGGGAGGCGTGCTTTGCATCCAACGGCATCCGCCGCGCGACGGAGTTTTTGGATGCGGACTGGGCCAGCAGCGTGCGCGCGTACTTCAACACGAAGGAGAAGACGCGTCGCTTCAAGTTCTCGCCCCTCGATGGATTTGACCACTCCTTCAGCTGCCTCATCCCGAAGGTACATCTGGCGAGGGTGTGGCGGGAGGTCCTGCGGGAGCAAAACGCGCGGTCGCATGACGACGTTGCGGCCATCCCGTTGGAGGGCACCGGCGGCCAAACAATTCTCTCCGGCGCTGACATGAAATCCGTACGGCATCAAATGGAGGTGGAGCGATCGCGCTCACACGACGAGATTGTCGGCATGCCGCTTGACAAGCTGCTCGGTCTTCGCCGCGAGCGGTTGGAGGCGTCGTTGGAGGCACCGAAGATACGGCCGGACAACTTCAACCGCAACCCCACGCAGGGCTCGGAGGAGGTGGTCTACCAGGAGCCGGGCGCCCAGTACATTTGCCCCGACACGTCGCTGAAGGTGTCAAACACCGGCAGGGAGAAGAAATTCGGCCTGGAAGGTAAAGTGAACGAACTCGTGAATGCCAGTTTTGCCGCAATGGGTATCGCCAAGCCGTCAAGCTGACGACGTGCCTCTGCGCAGAAAAAAAAAAAAAAAAGAGAGGAGGAGGAGGAGGAGGGGAAAGAAGCAATAATATATATAAAAAAAAAAAGTTGAAGCAAAAAAAAGAAAAAGAAAGAAATACATATATAAAGCAAATAAGGAAGGCGACAGCCAGTAGGTACCATTCTGGGAAAAGAGAAGAAGAATGAAAGATACAAGGAGGCCCCAGCGAAGTGTGAATTTTTATTTTTTTTTTTTGATGAATTATTCAATTACTTATTCCCTTCCGCACATGCAAGGAAGCACGCTTAAGTGTTGTTGTTGTTGTTGTTTTTTGTACTTTTTTCCTAAAATACTTTTCTCTTTTATTTATGTATTTATTTATGTATGTTTTTTTTTTTTGAGTGTGTGTTTGTGTTTGTGTTTGTGCGTGGGGGGTTGTTGCCGTATTTTTTGTGCCGAGTGACTGCATGTCCACATGTTTGCCTTGCCTCATACGGAGAGAAGGAGGGAGGTGGAAGAAACATGTGGGGTTGCCCGCGACTTTGCCAACCAACACCGCTGGCGTGGCACGAGGCATTGCAGCGTGAGGGGCGCTCTCTCTCTTCCTCTCTTTTAACGGTCATTATGTTTTGGCGGCCAACACTCCGCCAAAAGGAGGGGAGGGGGGGGAAAAAAAAGGAAGAATGACGGGGTGAAGTGGAGAATAGGGGGATTGTGTGGAGGAGGAACGGGGGGTGCCGTTTGAGTTTATTCCTGCCACAAATAAGTGGGGGTGGGCGGAGGAGGAGGAGGAGGACAGAAATATCAGGGAGAAAGAAAGAGGAGGAGGGGCTCCTACGCACACGTTACACGCCAGCGCCACATTTCATCTCTCGCCGCAAAATAAACTTCTCCACACACGTCCCCTTCTTTTTTTTTTTTTTTTTTTTTTTATATAAAATAAAAATAAAAGTAAAAATAAAAAAGGAATTCAAATAATTGAATATATTAAATAAAAAAAAAAGAAAGCAATTATTTCTATTTTGAAGTGAATGTTGATGGGTTTTTTTTTTGTTTTACGACTGTGCGTGCCTGCAATAAATACAAATACACAAGGACACACACACACACACACCCCTCCTCTTCACTTTCTTCTTTTATATGTGTTGTTGTTGTGTGCACATATATATATACATACATGTAATCAACCTGGATGCATGTACGGTGTGCGTCCTCGTGTAGGTTTGTAAATATAAATATAGTGAATTTCTGGACCACTTATTTGCCGGTATGTCATTTTTTTTTTTTTTTTTTTTCTTTTTTTTGTTTATTTTTGTGTGGATCATTTTTATATATTTATATATTTATTTCTGTTTGTTGATGTATTCCTTTTTGACTTATTTGTGGATTCTTTTCTTTTCTTTTCTTTTCTTTTCTCTCTTCCTTCTGTCACTCTTTTTTCCACCTGTGTGGATGCTCTTTGCGGTACCCTTCTTTTCCATTAGTGTGGCCACACACACGTGTGTGTGTGTCTGTGTAAAGAGAGAGAAAAAGAGAGGGAGAGAAAGAAAGAAAGGGCGTGTTGTTATTATTATTTATTTATTTATTATTTTTATTCCCCTCTACCACCATCCAACAATGAGACAGAAAACAGTCGGCGCACCACGTACAGTGAGAGAAGGACGCGACGAAAGGCACATTTTTTTTTCTCGGCAGCAACGCGGGAGTGACTTTTATTTATTATTATTTATTTATTATTTATTCTGCGTGTGTGCATGTTGACTGGCGTGTGATTTGTGTTCAGCTTTTTCCTTTTTTTCCTTTTTCTTCCTTTTTTCCCCTTCCTTTACTCTCTACCGTCTGGTAACACAGTAGGCGAATTGCGGGCGGCAGAAGGAATGGGGCATCATCATCGTTGATGTTGGGGTGCCACAACAAACCTGTTCCCGGAGGAGGACTACTCTGCAGGGCGCCTTTTTTAATTATTATTTTTTTTTTTCTGATGCACGCTCATCTCTTTTTTGGGTTTTGTGCCAAATTTCGAGGAGACGTTAGTGCGCACAGCAGCCGCTTGGACCTTGTGCAGTTTATTTATTTTCTGTCCATTGACTTTTGGCACAGCCGTCGGTGTGTAGTCACGAGCACGGTGTATGCGGCCAGTGAACGCTACACGCATCTCACGATGGGTGGGAAACCGCATGGAGAGAGGTGGTTTAAAGGGATGCCTGGAAGCAGTTGTGGGAACCTCGCTGTTGACCCGCCCATGCATGTTGGGAGCAGCACAGAATCGAGTACTTGGCAGGGGTGCCCCTAATGCGCCTCGCGGGTATGTGGGGCCACGCATCGGGACATGACTCCTCTGATGGTCGCTGGTTCTTCGTGAAGGACGCGCACCCGCCGAGATGAGAAGACGGTTGGCGAGTCAAAACTTGAGTCGGCAGCGGGGAGAGAAGTGGACGGGCATGAGAGGCGTTACCAACAGAGTTGGGACTTTTGCTATGGAAGGAGTCTGCAATAACAATAATAATAATAAAGGATCACTGCAGTCCCTCTCTCTCTCTCGTGTGTGTGTGTGGAGGGTTTTCTTTTCCTTAGCGGCGCGACGCTATGAAATTAACACATATTTTTTTTAAACCTTTTCTCCTCTTTTTTGTTTTGTTTTGTTTTATGCGGGAGTGCCGCCACAATGTCATTTGGCTTTTGTGCTCAAAAGAGGCGGCAGCGACTTTTATGGCGTCGTCTTACGCCTCCGTCATCGATGTGTCTTCTCCATGATTTTGCGCTTTTCAGCCGGTGTCAGCTACGTTTATGTGCCAACGTTGCGGGGACGGCAGCGACGCCTGGCAAAGTGCGGGTTCATGCCACGTCAGCCGAGGGCAAAACGGTGTCCTTCACCGCTCCCACGGGCATCACCCTCATGGAGGCAATACGTGACTTGGGAAGACTTGACATTGAGGCCGCATGTGATGGAACTTGTGCCTGCAGCACCTGCCATGTGATACTCCGCGAGGAAGACTTTGAGAAGCTGAGTGAGCCCTCAGAAGACGAGGTGGACATGCTCGACTTGGCGCCATCCGTCACAAAGACATCACGATTATCGTGCCAAGTTCAGCTTACAGACGCGCTCGATGGTATTACCGTGAAGTTACCGCCAGAGACAAGCAACCAGATGAGCTGAGGTATGTTCTCCAACGACACAAACAGTCCGACTCCATTATTATTTGTGTTTGGGTGGCTTTTCATGAGAACACAAATAAGAATGGACTTCACCGTGTGGTGTGAGGCACGATGTTGTGTTGACTGTCACTACACGAGCTGCATGTATAAACACAATGGTGACTACGGTGCAAGAAGTAAACATGGTAAAACACATGGATGGGGATTTTGCTTTCAACGTTTATCAATGGCTTACAAGTGTGGGGCTGAAGCTGCATGAGAACAGCGTACTCTCCGGCCACAAGCTTCATAACCGGTCTTTTACTTTTCGTTTACGATAACATCATGACATCTTTTCTCTACATTCTTGTCACCCAGAAATATTTATATGCATGACGCAAAAAAGCAAAGAGAAGAGCAGAAGCACCTCACAAGCGCCACCAAAATCAATGCCAACAGAAGAAATCTACGTTTCACATCCACAGCCCTAAGCAAAGATCACTTTGGGACGCCTGGAGAATGACAGCGGCCCGACAGCAATCAAAGATCATGATGCCGTATGTACGCCTCCTCACTCCCTTGGTACGTCACAAAATAAAGTGTGGAGTGAGAGGAGGAGGAGAGGCACAAAAACACTCCGCTCCGACCGCACCACCGTCTTTCATGTTTCTTTGTTACATGCTTACACCTCCCTGCTGTGTCTGTGACGAGCGTCACCGAGGGCGGCTCTGGCTGCGTCCCCTTCTCTTGCTCCCTCGGTACTCCCCGCTTCTCCTTCACACTTACTGCACTCTCTTCTCTCCCGCCTTCTCTTGCGCAGGTGACGCAGAAAAGAAGAACACGTCCAAGGCTGGAAGAAACGAGTAACAGAGACATGCGTCGATTCGTGTCCACCGTGCTGCTTTTTCTCCTTTGGCTCGCCGGTGGTCCCTGCGCCCTCGCGGAGCACCGCTGCATCTTTGACAGGGTCGCCTTGAATTGGTCCCAGCTGCAGACCGCCGTGGTGCAGGAGCTCCCACGGGGAAGAGCAGGCGCATGGCAGGCGTACACCGTGTCCACCCCTGACTGGGCGCCGATCCGGATTAAAGTGTTTGCGGAGGACCTGAAGGACACGACGAAGTACTGCACGGTGCGGGGAGACGTACGATCGGATTTCACTGGGGGCAGGGTTTTGTGCCGGCGGCAGGATGTTCTCACGAAAGAGAAGATGAGAATTATGGTCAACAGGCTGCTGCCCGAGGCCGTCAAGCTGCACACGGAGCGGCTTTTTGTACAGCCCGTCAGTGGCGTCTTGAGGTTGCCAAGGTTCAAGCTGGGAGTCTGCGGCGAGTTTACTGTCCCCATCACGCACCACTTGTCGGGAGTTGTTGGTGCCGACATGTTGCTGTACGCTGCCGCTGCACCCACCATCGGTGGGACTGTCGCGTGGGCCTCCACGTGTGTGACGCTGCAGGACGGACGGCCGGCTGCTGGTGTGTTGAACCTCAGCCCGAGCTTCATTGCCCCCAAGAGAGAAAGCATACGCGTGGTCTCGCACGAGATTGCGCACGCGCTGGGGTTTAACAGTATATTAATGTGGAGGCTGGGGATGATCAGCAGGCGCTCGGATGTCCGCGGCAAGGCAATGACGTTCGTCGTGGACTCCAACGAGACACTCGCGAGGGCGAGGGAGCACTACGACTGCAGCACCGCCCCCGGCATGGAGCTTGAGGACGAGGGCGGGGAATTTACAGCACACTCTCACTGGGAACGCCGTAACGCGAAGGATGAGCTGATGAGCCCGCTGATTGGCGCCGGCTTTTACACCGCGTTGACGATGGCGTTTTTTTCAGACATGGGTTTCTATCGTGCAAACTTCAGTATGGCAGAACCCATGGGCTGGGGTTACAAGGCTGGCTGTTCGCTTCTGCAGGAAAAGTGCATGCAGAACGGGGTTACGGCACACCCGGAGATGTTCTGCTCCGATATTCTCAAAACTCCAGCCTGCACCTCTGACCGCCGTGCTCTGGGACACTGCTCGATTGCGGTCCACGACGAAAGGCTTTCTCCCGAGTATCAGTACTTTGTGGAGGAAAACGTTGGTGGCTATCGGAATACTTTTGTGGATTTCTGTCCCATCATTATTCCTTCCGAAATTGGGGGCTGTGCAGATGGAAACTCTTTCTTGATGCCTGGGAGCCGTGTGGGTCCACAATCGTTGTGTCTGAAGGGCAATTCGCTTGAGATGGAATTTCATGGGCGTATTGGTGACATCTGCGCGGAGGTGTCGTGCCAGGCGGGGATTGTCCGTGTTCGGTACCTTGGTAATGATGCCTGGCACTTGTGTCCAGAAGGCGCGTCACTGACCCCAAAGTCGCCGTTCATTGGAGGCCAAATTTTATGCCCAAGGGCCGTTGACGTATGTTCCCAGTTGTCTGATACATCCCCTGGCGAGAGCGCACATGAGGAGAATCGAGATGAAATTGACACCCCCGATAAGAGGGAGGAAAAAGGGATGGATGACACCTCTGCTCCTGCAGAAAAAAAGCATGATGATCGCAGGAAACGTGAACCGAGTCTAATTGAGAAAATGTGTCGGCTGCTTGGAATCAACTGTCCTAAGATCAATTGGAGAAATGTCTGGTCCTTCTTTTCCTCCCGTGGCATGGGGTAATAAAGCAGTTTTCTCTTTACTGCCGTTGCCCCCCATGGATGTATCCTTGTATATGACTACATCAATACAACAAGTCAATTTTTTTTTTTTTTGCTGTGAATCACGCCGGCACCCACAACCAATTCCTTTTCTTTTTCCGACTATTTTTGTGCAATTCTTGCTTTTTTTTTTTTTTTTTTTTTTTCATGTGCGCTTTTCAGCGTGTGAGTCTGAGCTGTGGAATTAATATTGTTGCATGTTTGAAAGAAATTTGTTTTCATTGTGTGTGTGTGTGTGTGTGCGTGTCCTTTTTTTTTTTTTTTTTCTTTTTTTTTTTTTTTCTATGGAAACAACAATGTTTTGCTTTCGACCCTCCCCAGAAAGTATGATTTATGGTGATTCGATATGTACGAGTGGAAATAATAATAAATAATAATAAATAATATAAATAATATGCATAGAAGAAAAATGTTTTTTTTTTTTTTTCTTTCTGGTTGTTGTTGTTGTTTTTGTTGTTTATTTTATCCTGCTTCCCAGTTATATGAAAAACTCTGAAGTATTGATCGGAATGGCCCCATGGAACTGAGGAGGCACTTATTTGTGGACAGGACCGCTTAACGGAGTCCAGACTACTTTTGTTGTGATCGCATCCACCAGGAGAAAAGGAGATTCACGTAAGAAAAAAAAGTTGCTGCTTTACTTTTAATTTTTTTATGCCACATGCAAAATCCAAACACTTTGCAATATAAAGCACCCATTTTTTAACGGTGCGTCACAATACATCCCCCGCTGCTGCTGCTGCTGCTGCTGTGCCTTCCCACGTCCTCCCTGCCCACCAGCCCATCACCCCCCACCCTCTTCTCTCCCCTCCGACTGCTCCACTAGTCTCCAAGGCATTTCACAGGCAACAACCGAGGCAATGCGCCGCCGCACCATGACTGTCGTGCTCGTCCTCCTCATCCTTCTCTGCGGGGAGGATGTCCTCGCCGACTACTCGGTGCAGTTGGCAACGACGGCACTGTACTATGCGAAGACAGCGTACTGCAAGGCCGAAGCCATTTCCAACTGGACTTGTGCCTCCTGCGCCAGGAACCCGGGATTGCAAAAGGTGCGTGTATTTATGAATGCCGCGCACAGCACGCAGGCGTTTGTGGGCGTCAACGAGAGCATGATTGTGGTAAGTTTTCGCGGGACAAGGGATATTAATAACTGGCTACACAATCTGGATTTTATCTTTGCTCCGTACTTTAAGGATGGCTGCGTTGGGTGTCTTGTTCACGCCGGCTTCAATTGCGAATTGAAGTCATTGTGGGCGGAGATTCGGGTGTACCTACAGGAACTTGTTGCGGAGAAAGGAATCGAGGGAATTCTCGTCACTGGACACAGCCTTGGCGGCGCCATGGCTACAATCGCTGCTGCCAATTTGATGTCGCAGAATTCCTTGTTTCCCGGTGCAGTAAAGGTTTTGCTGTACACGTTTGGGCAGCCGCGCGTGGGAAACGGGGCATTTGTCAACTGGCTTCTTGCATCGTTTTGCCGCGGCGGCCATGAGTTGTACCGCGTGACGCACAAGCGGGATCCTGTGCCCCACGTTCCCCCCATGTTCGTTGGGTATTTACACGTTCCCAATGAAGTATGGTACGACAATGACGGGGACACGGTGCACAAGAACTGCACTGATATCTTTGGCACACCGTGTTCTGCCTTGACCGCCAAGGAGGACCCCAATTGCAGTGACAGTGTTCTTCCCATTAAAATTGAGGACCACCTGAAGTATCTGGGTGTGTGTACACGCTGTTCATGCGATCCCGGGGAAGCAATCAGCGACGAGGAGCTTCGCCTCCCACCGGAACTTGAACGGATTGTCGCAATGGACTACATTTATCAGCAATCGAGACACATGAGGCGTTTTCCGTCTTCCCCACGTTTTACAAAGAGCCTTGAGGCCCGCAGAAGAAAATAATTTTTCCTCCAAAAAAAAAATATTTTTTATAATTTGCTAGCGAGTAACTTTTATTGTCTAGGGGGTTGTGAGGAGAATGATCGGGAGGAGAGCTGGCGAACGGTAATTTAATATATATGTATATATTCTGCCAAAAATAATAAGCACTTCTTTACGACGTCTTTCTGTCTTATGAATTTTGTGAAGGCCACGACTTTAATGACTTTAGGGATCCAGCAGCGGCCGGATAATTTTTTGTTTTTACCATCGCACCTGCCCCCTTTTTAGGTTTCCGCCACGCGGCGGGGTCTTGTGGCTGCAGGACCTCAAAGTCTGCCACCTCGTAAGTAATAAATGCATTTCAGATCCTAACTGAGCAAAAAAGTTCAAGTGAGCGATCGAAAGAATTCATATATATTGAATTAGAAGAAAACAGCATTTAGGCAATTAACTGCTTCTGCTTTACCTTCCTTTTTCCTTCCTATCGTGTTTGTTTTTGATCGAGATAATTTTAGGATCCGGCCAGCGGCCCAGAGGATTATGCTCTTTTCCCTTTTCTATTTACGGATGATGCTGTTTTCTATTTATTTTTTTTTTTTACTTTTTCTGTTCTTTTGTCTGGAGTTGGTGAACGGTGTGTTTCTTTGTGTTTTCTGTTGTATTTCCGACTGGTTTGATATCCGCGTGGTTCACTGGTGGGGTTTTTTGCTTTTTGTTTGTGTGTGTGTGTTTTTATTGTGCTGTGTTTGGGGGGCATGAAATGCCGCTAGCCTGTTACGTGTGTGTGTGTGTGTGTGTGTGTGTGTGTGTGTGTGTGTGTGTGTGTGTGTGTGTGTGTGTGTGTGGATGCCTTTGTTTCTCTCTGTCTACTTTTGTGTGTAATGCCTCACTGGACTGTCGTAGAGGTTTTGTGTGTGTGTGTGCCGTGAGGCGCAGAGCCACTTACTTGTGGAACCGGGCATTGTGAAGGGAGGCGAAAAAGGGCTGGTGCGGTATTGATGATGGCCAGGTTGCCCGAAAGGCTAGTGGGCGCAAGAAAGGATAACAGCCCCTGCATCTGTGGAGCCGTAAAGTATGTGTTTAGCTTTCGGCGGATGGAGTGGGTGGCGACAAGTACCAACGTGAGGGTTTTGACACCACTGAAGGCAGCCGCCAAGGGTGGCATGCGTGTCTGCTATGATGTGGAGGAGGTGGAGGAGGACGGTAGCAGGACCCCATGCGTTGCGAAGCTTTTTCTAAGAAACATATCCGACGTGGTTGAAAAGGACTACTTCAGTGAAGGGGAAGCGCAGTGCATGTGTGAGCAGTTTGCAAATAATTTTAATAAAGCCACATTTACAGGCATCGAGAGGCCACATGTTTCCTTCTTGCAGTGCCAAGTGCTGCGCATCCCGAAGCAAAACATTCCGGCGGAGCATCGAGATGCGCAGCATGGTTTTTTCTCGTACAAGACAACCGACACGAGGGAGGTCATGTTCGTCATGGAGCCCAGGCTGCATGGCCATTTCACAAAGTACAACAGCAACTTTGGCGAGACTTACGAGGGCGACAAGCACTTTAAAACACCTTCACAGATTCAACAGCGGACACGCATGTTTCTTATTGCAGAAGCCTTTTCTCACTTCACTCTTGCCGAGAGCGGTGGCTCCATGTTGTTGTGTGACCTTCAGGGCGTCAATGATCTCTTCACGGACCCACAAATCCATACCGAAGACGGCAAAGGGCTGGGTCTGGGCAACATGGGGCACGAGGGCATCGAAAAGTATGTATTGCGGCATGAATGCAATGAATTTTGCCGGGCTCTTGCACTGAAGCCGCTGGATGGGATTCGTCCACCGAATGGCAAGGAGTCACGGACGAACAACTTCTACGTGCGTCTGAGGGCTCAACTGCAACAGGACATGGTGCCCCTCTCCAAACCCATTGGGGAGATGACAGAAGAGGAACAGATTGCCCACGCCATCAGGCTATCGCAGATTTCCCACTAGGTGCGGTATGGCCTGTTTCTTTATTGCTCCAGCGGATTTTGCCGGCGCACATTTTCCGTCCCTTTTCTTTGCTTTTCCTTTCTATCTCTGAGCAGGGTA